ATGAACATGTTTGTATTTTTATCTTAGTGGTAGATTTGCAAGAATGAGACAAATCTGCATAATAAATCCATTAATTGTCTTTTTACTAGTCCTAGGACTAGTCAGTCACCTAGAAAATTTAAGACGTGGGACATCCAAGTATTAGAGATTGAGTAATCAGTACCTCTACACACTTATAAAAATAATCTCAGTGCTGCATATAGAAAGCTTGAATGAAATATAGTGTAGAAGTAATCAAGGTCTATACTACACCTGTGAGTGGCAACTGCAACATGAGCAAGAAAAAACCAAGCCAGCTTTTGAGGCAACTGCCTGGGTTACATCGGTCCCACCAGAGGCTGAGGCAAAGCAGCTGAAGCTCCTGCAGTTAGTTATGCCTTCACTGCATTGCTTCCCAGACTAAATTAAGAAATCATACTTAAGATGTCTGTTCTATAAATACCTCTGTTTTCATTTAAATGCACATGTAGCCCATTTCAAATATCTCCTGTGACAAATTGTTTAATTGAAATATGCATGGAACAGGTCAAAGAAATAATACCAGTCTCCAGAGAGGAACAAAGTCAGACAGGGAAACCTTCTTGAATTCTACCAAGGTCTTACACTTTTTTTTTTGTGCAAGTGAGTATGTAACAGAATTAAGTATCTTGATTACATTTTGTATTGGAACTGTCTGTATTGCTTTGATATGGTGCAGAATTTAAAAAAAAAAAAAAAGGAAAGAAATAAGGGAGTTCCATTCCCTAATCTAGTATATATCACACAGTTGTGTCTGCGCAAGGCAGCAGAGGAGAAAAAAAGAATCACAGAAGCAGGCAAGACTACCTTAATAGTGTGGCTTATTTTCAATTAATTACAGGCTTAGATGTTTGGGTTTTTTCTGAGGCCAAGTAGGCAGCAATGAGTGCCCACTGGATGCATTCACTCCCAGCTGAAGAGACATACTGCTTAAGCCTCAGAGGAGATTCCCCCTCCTACGCCACACCCCCAAAAAGGAAAAAATCCCAGGAGCTGCAATTTCTTTAAGTACTAACTACTAATTTATTTGGAGCAATTTACAAAGAACAGCAGGGGATAGCTTCAATGAAGAAAGGGATTTTTGAGACAAAATTGCAACATTCTGATTTAATGAAAAAAAAGAGGAAGGCTAGGCTCCTTTAAACCTGAGTGACAAGACATGCAGATCTCATTTTCCTTTCTAAAGAAACTGCTAGTGAAAGGGTCTGGACTGAGTATGCTAGAGGATGCAAGTACAGAGGTCAATACTGTGTCAAACTCCTGTCAACTTCTTTACCAGAACTGTAAAACAAAGTTCAGCATAACACCTTGAGCCCTACAAATTGTAGCTAGTTGGGTTTTTTTTAAGCCAGGCATTTACCCAGATTCTTTTATTGAAAGAATTCTTCTAGTTCAAGTGAGCCAGAAAACCAATTTAATTGCACTTCTGTTTCTTGGGCCAGGGAAAATTCAGGAACTTTACCCCAGCACTGGGGTTTTAAGGAAAAACAGGAACTTTCCAGTGAGACAATGTAGACAATATAGACAAGCATCTTGCAAACAGCAGACTCATGCAGCAGTGCTATTATCCAAAATGTGAAGCAACAATAACTGCCTGGGCCAAAAAATGTCTCATCTCTAGGAGGAACTTCAGCCTTCAGATCTGATATTTAAATCTTTGCTTACCTAACTGTATTATTTAATCAGAAAACTGCTTCCAACCATGAAGGAAGACCCTGAACAGAAGAGGTAGAACACATAACTGAGTACTCCGAGCAACCCTGGCAAATGCCCCAACCCCACACTGCAGTATCTGGGCATCATCAGCTCAAGCAATCCTTGTCACAAAAGGTGTAAGGTTTAAATGCAATGTGGCTGAAGGCCATCCTAAAAGAGACCAATGCACAGCCAAAATGGGAGAAAAGAACGTAAGCTGGTAGTACCAAGGCCAGTCCCGAGAGGAAGGACACCCTCGGCATTAAAACACCTTTCACAGGCTTCTGTCCCAAGCAATAGCAAGGATTTAACCTAACAGACCAACTCTGCTTTTTACCAAGCCTAAGAGTTACTGCAAAGGGGGTGAGGGAAATCAATTAATTTAAATATGTATCACCTGCATTGAGTGGCTGCACATTTTGATCTTATTGCCTTTGGGGTTTCAGTGGTTTGTAAGCTCCCACATGGCATGATCTTTCATGAGTGTCAATAGCAGACCATTATTATTGTCTTTCCCTCTGGTCTCTGTGTATATATCTAGATAAAATAATTCCTTTCATTTAAGGCACAACAAAACTAAAGCTCCTACCTCAAAAATATTCCTAAACATGCCTAGGAAAGTAGCAAACTAAGGGGCTAAAATGGAAATGTTAAACATGTTAAACATCTTCCGCATTCACCTTCCAACATGCATTAGAAGGAAATGTGTTGGTAAGTACTGTTGGAGTCACCTACACAGGAAGTTTTCTGACTCCACTCTGATGGTTCACACGCTGTCCTTTTAAATATTCGATTTCTCAACTGGTTCACCCCTCACCCACATCTGCAGACATTGTCTAAACTTCTGAAGTTTCCTTTGAAATGAAAGAAAATCTTATTTTCTTTAACAGGGAGCAAAGGAGAAAGGCAGAAAACTATATTGCTCTTTTTCACATTGGTTCACAGAGCTTTCAGAGTGGTAAAAAGAATACAAAGAGTATTTTATTTCACTTTCATAACATGGTTCTGCTTTCCACATTATAGAAGAAACACCAAATTCTCCATTATCAGTTAAGACAGGTTTGTCCTTCATTTTCAGATAATATTGTCTTTTCTTCACTGAAAGCCTTCCTTGAAAGTTATTTAAGTTTTCTGTTTGGTTGGTTTTGTTTTGGTGTTTTGGGGGTTTTTATGTTTGTTTAAAGAAACTGTTGCTACTACAATGAAATAAACAAACCCAAACATACCAAAGCACACAGCCTTTCATTCTCTGCCTAGAAGCAGATAAATGTACATTTCATTGTCCTTCCTGTCCTTTGCTCCTTCTGAAAGAAAACAAGATTTCTTTGATGTTGTGTCAAAGTACATTTTAGAGCTCTCAAGCAGTAGATGAAACAGCAGGAAAAAAATCAACAATTCAATCTGTGAACCAGCAGCAGAGTAGAGTAGAAGGTAGTGTTGGACAGACCAAAAAATTACCAGTGTTTCTCATCCACTTAGAAGTTCAACAGTCAACCAAAAACAATGGGGAGAAAGAAGCATCAAGCTTCTTCAAAACAAGTGGTAAGTTGAACCCTAGGAAGTCTCAAGATAAGTTTGCCTGCTACAAGCCCGTACAAGGCTTTCCAATTGCTATGTACTTCATAGACCATAGGGAAAAGACAGCTCTTCAACACCTGGGTACTTCCAAGTCTGAGATTGTCTAAAAGCTGATTCTCACCACAGCTCAGCACTTATTTAAGGAATAGGCAGGGCAGTTCCATGAGGTATCCATTCCGAGAAAAACTGCCCATCCAAGTTATGCTTCTTTGGCTCTGGCCAAGACACATACATAAGCATAGCCAAAGGTACCACTAAGATTGTTTTGGTAAGATACTTAAGTTTTCTTTCACTGATCAAAAGAGCTTGCAGATTATTCTGTAAACAGAGTAAAGGCTAGACTCTACCCTTGTTTTTCCTCTGTTTAGAAAATTACAGATAAGTCCACCAACATGCACCAAAAAAAAGACTCACTGTGCGTGTGTATAAATAATATATATATATATAAACTTACTCTAACAACTGTTCAAAAACCAAAATAACTATTTATCCTTTCTTTCTTTCTCCTTCTGTGCCTCTCCAATATTCCCTTTCAAACAAGGGATAGTCTTATTTCACGAAACCTTCCTTCAGAATTCATTACTTCTGACATGAAGACCCTTCCTTCCACATCTATAAGTCAGTAATTATATCTGCCTCTTACAGTGTGAGGCATCAGAAATAAGAACATTTTATTTTTCCAAAGCTAAGTCATTTATTAAATCCTCAACTTTTCCAAGATAACACACACAAAAAGATTAACAGGAATTCATCTGTCGACAGATCAGAGAAAGAGGTAAGTTTGGTTTTTTCCCTCCCTTTGCACATCTGCACAGGTATTCTGAGAAATCCAATTCAAGTGTTTACTTCCCTCAGTGGCCACCTCACTATTCTTTCTGAATGCTTAGATCAAAAGGTTTGTTTTACTGCACTGGTATAGCCTTCAGGACACAGTTCTAGAGATCACAAAGTAAATCTAGCCACAACCATTCTGAACATTTCTAGCACTACAGTTCTGCTTCCTACGGTCAAGGTCTGTAGATTCCACGTAGTCTAGTCAGATGGACAAACTCAAATCTCTTGCTTGCCTTCTCGGCCTCACTTGGTTTCACTCGCAATGCTTCCACCACCACCACTACACTTATCAGCACTTTTCAGGGCAGATACCTTCCTGCTATTTATCACGTATTTCCACTGCATAATTATAAGAAGCACACCTGACACACAGTAGCTAAGGGCCATCTGGAATTCAGTAAACTATTAACTTAAAATCATTCTAGGTAACAATTTATGATTTGCCTTGGCAGGCAGCTAAGCCAAAGTGCTCTGAATTTGTGGTCCAGCTTTATTTCAGAGAACAAAGTTACCAGCTAACCTTCAAGACTGAAATACTTCCACCATCCCCCCAGTGGCTTCAGAAGTAATCTGCTATTATTCTAACATGTTCTGTTGTTTGGTTTTGGTTTTTGTTTTTAAACCCTAGGCAATGCCTTCTTATATACTGACTGGAAGAGTATGAATATATGCAAAATTTTATTTCCATTCACATATTTTACAGGCTTCTGACTAACTGGTAAGTTGAACCATCCTATACCTTTCCACCCATCCCCCCAAAGCCTCTTGTCAGCTTCTTTTTCCCCCCCACACACACTTGCACAGTACGATGCTACCCAGCTGTACTCCTTCGCTGTTAGTAGTAGCTCTAGAATCAGCAGTGGGGAGGGACTTACACTGGTCACTCGACGGTAGATCTGCGCAGCATTTTGGCACTCGGAATAAGGATACTCAGACGTGGCCATCTCTAGCATACACATCCCAAAAGCATATACATCAACGGATTCATCATATTTCTCCTCATACATCTCGGGGGCCATGAACTCTGGGGTACCTTAAATTAAAAGAACGATTCAGACTCTAAATGTCTCAAAGCGAGCAGAGGCTGCTGGCGTTACTCACCGCAGGAGGAAGTGGATGGGCAGACCTGTGAGACAAGAGAAAGTGGAGGCAAAAAGAAGAGGGAGGAAACCCTTAGTCACTCTGTTGCATCAACATACTTTGTGAGTCTTCCATTGCAAGGCCTTTATGGAATAAGAATGGCATGAAAGGACTGATGCAGTTCCTGGTTTATGCACATTAGTTAATAAAAGTACCAAAACAGACTGGATCAGGCTGGAGTCAAATGGAGGGGAGGGGATAAGAAGAGGGGAAAACTGTAGACTAGCCACAGGCTGCAAACCAAATACTAAGGAGAGTTAAGACACTTACCTTTTCTCCCTACAAGAAAGGAGGCACGTTAAACCTTGTTTCAAAAATTACCCGACTGCCCTCTGCTGCAAAAGAAGTAGTACTGGTAAGAGCCCACAGCTAGTCTCTGTCCTGGTGCTCTCCATCTACTTTTTGAAGTAGAATGGTTCAGGAAAGGCCTTGCAATGAAAAACTCTGTTGTTATAAATATAAATCTTCATAAAAAAAGGATTAAAAGTAATTTTCTGCAAAGGCCACTCACCAGAGCCCTTTTCTTCATATACTTACCTTCCCACCTGCAGTATATTTATAGGCCTACTGCAGATACAGGCATTAGTGAGGAACATCCTACAGTCAAAAATACTCAGAAATACAGAGAGATTGAGTTACAGGCATAGAGCGTGAGATTCAACAAGTCCCATTTAAATAGTGTGCAGAAAATTATTGCCCAGTGAAGCGTCACAGCGTCCCCTCTGAAAGCAAAGGGACTGCATTGTATGATCAGATTTACTTTAAGCCAGAGATGCAAGTTTGCTTTTAGAAAATTTAAGCACAGAATTATTTCCTGCAGACAACAGATTCAAGACAGTTTACAGATCATTCCATAGCCACATCATTGTTTTCACCATGCTAAAGCAAAAAAAAAGGATGTAATTGCAGTCATTTATCCAAAGGCTAACTATTAACAGATAGCCAGATACAAGATGATAATTTTCCAATGATAGATTTGAGGATGAGTATGCTTAAGAAAATAGAATTTTTTGATGCTGCATACTTTTCTTTCCTATTAATACTTTGACCTGGTTAAGAAGCAGGAAATATTTCAGCGACAGCTTGGAAGACAATTTACAGGTAAACACCATTGATCCCATCTAGGAATCTAGTATAGGACTGTTGAGTAATATTGCATTTTAGCAAGCTCTAAATACTGAGAGTGAGAGCAACTTCATTCCCTGCAGTCTATTCACCCAACTACAAAAACAAAGCTGATAAAACCAATTCTTTAAAGAATTCACAAGAAAGATTAGACTAATTCCATCAAACCAATTTCTGAAAAGGGTTATTAGTGGATACATAAGAGCAGAGCAAGTATAAGGCACTACTTCCCCAATGCATCCTCCTAACTTACATAAATCCATATACTATAGACTCCCCAAGTAAGGCATTATACCACAGTCTGACTGGGATATAAAATATATATATTGACTTTCTTTGGTATACCTTAAGTTTCTGATTACTCAAAGTGTAAAAGATTTAATATTAACCCCTGGTGACAGTAAAAAAAAAAAAAAATTGGCTGTTTAGATCAATGCTAGACTATCAAAATATTGTTTGGTCACCAAAATGCATTTGTACATTTCTTAAAGCATCATATTAAAGCTGAGATTTATATGTAGTCAAGAGTGGTTTTATCAACAATGTTGCACTAAACTGTTGGGCAGGCCAAGAATCTATAATCCAAAATTCTTAATGTTAACATACAATTATTAAAAACACAACCAAAATTTCAACACGTAATCTCATCAGGAACACAGAATGACCTCAGCCGCCAAGAAACAAAGCCTATACATTTTCAAGCTTTGACCATGTACCTTTGAAGCCATATTTTTAAGAAAAGCTCTTAAAAGACTTAAGTTTCCAAATAGGTAGACTGGCTCACCAGCCTCCAAAACAGGAGAGGCTTACCTATCACGCTTTTGGCAAAAGAAGCTCGTTTCAGGGTTGCCAGACCGAGGTCTCCAATCTTGACTGATCCAGTGGGGCCAGTAATAAAGATGTTGTCACATTTTAAGTCTCTATGAATAATGGGAGGAGTGCGCGTGTGTAGAAATTGTAAGCCTTTCAGTATTTGACGGCACCAGCTTCGCAGTACTTTAATTTTCATCACTTTAAATCTTTTCAAATACCTAATGAAAAGTAACAGTAGGTTAAACAGGTTCTGCTAACAAGCAGTAGATTATGCTGTATCGTTTGCTGTTCTGAAGTAAGAAAGCAGTAAAGAGATACACAAATTTCAACTTCACCTTCTATGTTAAAATCTACTTGGGCATTTCAAGATTTCAGAGGAGCTGAAGATGATTTCCCATCCTAAAACTTAAGCTGCCCTATTCAGAATTTCTACCCCCTTTCTTCTAGCCAGGGAACTATAGTGCTGAACAACAAGTGTGAAATGCTTGATTTATAGGTAATAACTCATTTGCATATAAAGTCACCCTATGGTTATTAGGCAGGTGGCTTGCTCAGTTTCAAGGCACTGCTTCCCTGACAAAGAGTTAAAAAAGCTTATGCATTACAACAATTCTTTACCTATTCATTTAAGTTTTTTTGTCTTCCCTACCTTTTATCCTGAAACTGCTTAAATAGTTACAACCTTTTCGTTGATTAAATATAACTGAGTGGGAAGGCGAGCCATTAGAGTCAAAACACTAACAACCACCAAGTATGTACAGAGTTGTTGCAAACTGTGGGAGAGCTCTGAAGTTGTTATACCTTAGTTATCCATATTAGTCCAAGCACTCTGGTCAAGAATTCCAGGTTACACTTTAACCTGCTTCAAATTTACTTGTTGAGTTATCAAGCAAATTAGAAATTCTTAGAGATCACTTCCCTGGTACAGGATGGAGTTCGATGACCTGAGTCTGACTGGTACTACTCACTACTTCAAAGTATGGACAGATAGGGACAAGGCAGGGAAACATTTAGAAAGGCTCCGCCAAATAATTGAACTGGAAGAGTTCATGCATAAAGTCAGTATTCCTTTGCAGGTAGAATGTGACCCAACCTTAATTGTTCTAACATTGTGGCTTTTTAAAACCCCATGTCAGAAGAATCAAATTTCATACCAAAAATATTTTTCAATGCCTGACCTAAGACTACTACGATCTTATTCTACTCTTTAACGTCAACAGATTAGAGATGCCACAAGGTGAATAACCTGTGACAATATTCAAGTGCTTTCCAGCAGTGTATTCTCACAAACCCTCTTTGGGTAAACCAATTTGAAGCAAAGAATTGTTTTCTTCCTTTTGAAAAAATACAGCCTGAAATACATTTAGAGAAAGGAACTAGCATGCTGTGTAGAGCAAGGACTTTATTCTTACTCAGCCAGAGACTCAGTTAAAGACCAGTTTCACACTACTGTGAGATTGGTAGTAAATTGTGACCAGCATGGAGTCTAGCAACTACAATCTTAAAATAAAACAAGTCATGTTCAATTATTTCATGGTAGCATTCAGTCTCTTCTGCATATCTACTTAATCAGGAGAGAAAGTCTTGATGAAATCACTTGAATGAACGTCAACATAAAAATGCAGTATATTAATCCCTTTTACTTTCTCCAGTTCAAAAGAAGTTCTGGAAAAATCAAGCTGCTAGCAATAATCCTGCTGTGAAAACAGATCTGTAAAAGCAATCAGGACCCAGTTCCAGAAGGAAATCAAGTCTCAAAACAGAATTGAAACACAGGCACAGAAAAAGCCAAGCCAAGGAAGGAGACAAACTGAAGGAGGTTCTGGATCACATCAGCTACCACTTGAATTCTTGCTATTGACACAACCCTCATTCATCTCTCTTGAGCCTGTTCCAAAGATCACATGGTAGGGGCACTTCAGTTCAGCATCTGGAATCCCTAATTACATTCTTGGTTTCAAATATGTTAGTCTACTGCCAGCTTCTCACTGTTAAAGGACCTGGGTCCAACCATCACCCAGCATCCTGCAGTGTTGCTGTCATTTTTCCATAACACTGTCATGAATTAAGTCACATGTCACTTAAGGCAGAAACCATTTTAAAATGGAAGCATATGTAAATACAGAAAAACACAGCCAGCCATACTAGTCAGCATGTTTTCAATTTTCCTAGTATCATAGGGTAAGTCAGACTTGAAAAGACCTCAGGAGGTTTCCAGTCTAAGTTTCTGCTCAAGGTAGGGTCAGCCATGAGGTCAGACATGGTTGCCCTGGGCTGTATCCAGCCAAGTTTCCACATCTCCAAGGATGGAGTGCACAGAATATCTTGGGGCAACCTGTTCCACTGCCTGACTGTCACCACTGAAATAGGTTCTCCTTCTATCAGTCTGAACCTCTTCTGTTTCAATTTATGCCTGTTGTCTCTAATCCTCCCACCATGTACCACTGTGAAGAGCCTGACTGACCCTCTCACATGCCATGGAAGGCTGCTGTTAGGTCTCCCCCAAAGGATCCTCCTCCTTCAGGATGAAGAAGTCCGGTTCCCTCAGTCCCTCCTCACAGAGCAGGTACTCCAGCACCTGACCACCTTGGTGACCCTCCACTGAACTTGTTCCTGCTTAATCAATGTCATTCTTGTCTATTTCACAGGGTAGCAGTTGATTTTAAAAAGACAGATAGTTGATCTTTGCACAGAACACAAGCAAAGATGAGAACACGAGGCTTCCTTAGTAGTTAGCTTCAATGAATAGAGAGAAACAGGAACTAGTTTGGCTTTCTGTCTCAAGGTTTGTTTGTTGGGGTTTTTTAAGCAGGAAGGATGCTGATCTATAGCATCTCAGCTCAAGGAGCTATGGGAAACCCTTCTAAGTTAGCAGAGGTAGTTATGAAGGTATGTGTCCTATCAGATAGCTGGCACTCATTTGAAGTGATCAGGAACACACACTCCAACAGCCTTAGACAAAACTAGTGGTTAAGACCTAGGCCAGATTAAAACTTGCTGTCTTCATTTATAGTATAGTTAAGACTTAAAATAGACAACTCAATTTTTTTCCCAATATTTTAATTCCATGATAGCATACAACATCAGAAAGAAGTTTAACTCTTTACAATAATTGAGTTGTAAGACTTTCCCATTGGTATGCAGAAATACAGGGACTTTTCTCCATGCAAAATTAGAAATTTGCCCAGACAGCATTTGATAAGAATGAGTCCACAATATTTTAACATTATTTATTTGTATTTATATCTAAATGTATACAAATACCAAAAAAAACCCCCGCCACCACTATGAGGAAAATTTACTTTAAGATATCACCACACTTTTCTTCTGTTTACTTTTTTACATCAAGTGACAACAATGTCTATGTCCCAAGTCTCAAAACAAGGTAGGTATCACTTGTTTAAATGCAGGTAATGTAAGCATATTGAAAAAAAGATAGGGAAGTAATAGCCAAATATCATAAGCAAACACAAGTGGGTGGTGTAAATCTAGAAATATGACACAGATACATGAAATACTTAATGATATTAAATTTGGCACATCAGAAACTTCCCATATACTTTACCTGTCAAGTCTCAAGCGAAGTGGACAAGAATAAACTAAATCACAGTTATAACACAAGCTATACAATAGTGGGGAAAAAACCTACCCAGAAGTCTACTGTTTAAATGATCTTCAATTAAAGAGCCTGTTAGTTCTTTCTGGATAAAAAGACTTTCATACTTCAGAGTACAAAATAATCCTATAGCCAGCAAATCTGAGGCACTTCTTCCTACCAATACCCTACTTGGTAATTCTCTATTATTACTTTATCATCTCGCTTATGCCTTCACTCAACAAGCCAATCCAAATATTAAAATCTGTGAGCAGGAGAAAAGAGTGGAGGGAAAAAAAGGAGAAAAAAGTTAAATCTAACTACATGTTCTAGCATAAAATTAGGTAACTTTAAATAAAGGCATCTGTACGCAGCTGTAAAACTTTATTTTATTACTGCTCTGAAAACAGTACGGGAAGCAACAGACCTATTATTTTATCTGAAATACCTTAAAAAACTTCAGAAAAGTCTTCCCTGAACATATGGCTAAAAAGAAAGTTGCAGTATCTTTAGCCCTCCAGACTATTTCAAGAGACAAACACTTCCCTGTAATTGCAGTCCAGACTCCCAAAGAGCCATTTTTTCTTTAAGTATGTCCATTTGTGGCTATCAATAAGCATCATAAAAAACACGAGACATTCACAGGCTATTTTAACCAAATAGATTGCAAATTGTTTCCAGCTCTTACAGCCTGCTTACACATTTAGGATTTGAATGCCTCTCCAAGACTTAAATAGGCACTGAGTTAAGACAACGACCCACAATCCCTGAATTTCAAATGTTGGCAGTTTTATTTCCAGTAGATTAATGGTGACTGGATGCTCGCAAACAAGCTCACAGCTCTGCAAGTTTCTACAGTGCAAGGCAAAGGCATAATTTCAGTGGAACTCCTCACAGGCTCCACATACCACTAGAGGGCCCTCGCACCAGATTGATTTGCTAGTGTCTACTTTTAACTCTTGGCTTAAAATAGACCCAGTTTCACTCAACTACTTCACAGGTTGAAACTGCGGGCATCTGCATACTTACAGATTTTGTTTAGGTACTACTTCATGAAGTTTCAGCTAAACAAATAGGTGGGGTTTGGGTTTTTTTCTTTTTATATAATATATGTACTCTAATAACACTCAAAGGCTTCCAAGGAGGTGAATTAATTTGAACTTTACAAACCAGCTCATGCTAAATGGAAGGCAGCTGGAGAGGAAAAGGAAAGATTCTGAGAAGTTAAAATAGGCTTTGTCTTCCTGAGCTCTCAAAACCTGGAAGTTTTCTGCATGTGCTTACTAGGACATCTCAAGGAAGAATCTGACAAGCTTGCTAACTTAAAGGGTGTTCCACTGTACCCTGCAGTGCTAGTAAGACTCTTCTTATACAAGGATTCCCCTACAGAATTTCAGCTGGCTGCAAAAGGGCTCTGTTCTTATCAGTTCTGAAGTATCTATTTCTAGTGCTCTGATTTTGTGCTAATGACTCTTACATGCTTTGACATGCCTTAATTTACTTACGTTTTCAATGTTCCAGATGTCATGAGTTCCGTCACAAGAACAATACACTTCTTTCCTTTGACTGTAGACTCCCAAGAATCATAGAACCTGACAATATTGGGATGCTGAAGCCCTTTCAGCATCCCAGCTTCCTCTTTAAATCTTTGTCGCTCTGACTTGGACAACTTCCGATCCTAACGAAAAGGAAAAGGTATGTCAGAAAGCTTTGCTTTATTTCTTACTCAGAGAAGCAGCAACTTGAAAAACAATTAGGTACAGTGAACAAGTAAGAATAAGTAGTTTAAAATGCCGTTTTGTTTGCAATTACCCTTAAACACTCTATTTAGAAGGCATTATATTATTATCTTTTTTTATCATGTGTTTTTCCTTACAATCTGATTGCTCTCAGAGGTAAGACTTGTGAGTCTGTAGATTATCTCCTCTTCCTGTTTCCTCTTCCCCCACTCTAAAAGTCATTGCCTGATTTGAGGTGGAAAGGGGATATAATATCCTCAGATACTCAAGTGTTCAAGAGTAGACAAAATTGGATCATTTAAAGCATCTCTCTCAGGTTGTACATAACAATAACCTTTAGTTATTCCTATGTGTATGATATCCAGACCTCTGGTAACAGATTGGCTTAACCCTCTATACAGGGAGGGAGTAGAGTGTCAAACCTCTCTAACATATAGTATGTATTTAGAACTGTAGAAATATAAGGGAGTGAGTTGGATTTTCTTTGATTAAGAGCATGACTTCATAATTAAGCAAGTTTCCTGTAATCTAGCATCAAGGAAAACAAAAACATAACTCACACTAGAGACAGAAAGCAATCTTTTGGCCAGAGACAGATCATGAAAAAGCATTCCTGGACAATATTGCTGTATTATCCACCAACAACCGGCTATCAAATATTGTCAAGCTATTACCAGAATAAGCTGCACATCTCAAGAGAAAACAGTCTCCTTGTGTCATTCAGTGTTGTAAACTTACTAATGCATTACCAATGCACTGGTCACACTAGTCAGACTGATCAACTGACATAAATTGGATCCATATGCAGCTTGTATTAAAAGAAAAAAAAAAAAAATCAGGATACGCTTAAAGTCCAGAATTTTAGAATCATTGTTCCTAACAGTTATTTTGGAACAACTTCTTTGTCAAATCTGAGTAATAATTTTAAGTCACTTCATTCCATATTTCCTTTTCAATTAAAAGGAGGTAGTAAAAAACACACAGGGTTTACGTATATGGCTTACAACCTCCTGTTGTCCCCTAGGCAATAATTCTTCCTTTGTTTACAGGTAATGCATTTTCTCAATACCATTCAGCATGCTAATATCTAAACCATCCTATATTCAACTTAGATCATTAACTTTAAGAGGTTCACAGAGTATCTTTGGACGTGAACAAACTTCATTTCCAGATGAAGCTCCAGTTTTCAGTTCCAGTTTGAAAATAGGTTTGAAATCACCTCAGGGATGAGTAGCTTCTCAGAGCCTAATGAATGTCAATCACGTACACACTTTTACACTTGCTTAGGAAGATGCTAAATTCTTAACGCTCACAAATTTAGTCTATAGCCATCAAAAGCATTCAATCCTGCAACTATTTCCCTCTGCAGAAATTATCACTACCACCTCTTCTCACTCCTGCATAAGCATACTTGCACAAACAAATTTCAATATAATGTGTTTGCAGAAACACTCCACAAACATTTAAGTATTTCTGTCTGCTTAGGTGTTGGGTTTTTTTTAACACGGAAATAACACTTCCATTTGAGCTATCTTACCCATCTAATAGCCTTCCATTCTTTATAATAAACAGGGCAGTACAAGTTCTGTTCAGAACTAATTAATTTTGACTGCTACAAACAGCTGCGATACAGAAAAGCAGTGAGTTGCAATAGGGACAGTCAGCAGACCACGCACACATTTCTAAGAAACATACAATGCTTCAAGCAATACAAAATTACAACATAATAATTCTTACAGTCTTCTCAGCCTCTGCACTTGATCCATATAATCCACATTTTAAAAATAATGCATAGCTGTAAATACAATTATTATATATGGTAATTATAAAAATTAGGCTGCAACAATTACTTTTACATCACTTAAATTTAGCTATGTAATACGAACACATGGACTCATTTTTGTCCAAAAACTAGATTTCAGATATACATTTGGATTACATTTCCTTTATTTTGTGCATTCCAGCAAGTTATCTACCACAAACACTACTAACCAGTTTTAGACTACACTTGACATTAAATTCTTATCTTAATCTACGTAAGCCTAATCTCCCTTAACAGTTATTCAGTTTTCCCTACCACTGTACTACTAGCCTCAAATAGAAACTAACAAGTGGTAATCATTCTTATCAATGAACAGACTCTTATCGGGCATGTATATTTTGACTCATTTCTCTTTCTGGTCACATCAATGGTAGCATCGTGTTCCTGCAAAAATATCTGTGACGTTTGAAACGGACACTCAACACTTCAGCACTGATATTAAAAAAAAAAGCTACCAAGACAGTGACAACATACTAAGTAATTCAACACTTCTTTGAAAGTCACAGCGCCCTAATGATCTGGGACAAGTTTGGGCACAAACACTGGCCAACAAATTTTACCCTGGGAAGACAGCGATGTTTTTGCAACCAAGGAAACATTGCACCCTTCAGTAGCATATTGCAGCAGCAAAAGTGAACATTAAACAGAGCTGTGAGAGAAAGACAGAGAGGCCACTTGTTTCATAAGACTAGCAATGCATACTACCTTTAACCACCCTCATTTCCTTGGATACACAACCCATACACTCATCCATAACAGTTATTTATATTTCTTTCCTTAAAGGAATACTAACACTAGGTAGCAGAAAAGGGTGAATATACTTTAAAAAAAACCCTAGTGTTCAGCAAAATACTAAATCTCACATACAATTATACCAACAAAATGAATCTGTATGCACAATGAGTAGTTATACTTGTACGAACTACATTCTAATGTACCCTGCAAAGTTAGCCTACAGGCTAACATGTGATTGAAAAATGACAAGTACACTTTCAAAACTTGAGTAGTCCCTACACCAGAACCTTAAAACATATTAGACAGTAAGACTTCCCAAACTGCATAGAGACAGACTAGAACAAAGCCCATCCCAAACACTACATTTTGGCATCCTTTGAGCTGTTAGCATGGGCAAATGTGACAACTTTATGCTCGCTCTTGTACAAAGATGTGGTTTAAGCAGCTGCAACTACTAAAATATTGAAATAAGCAAGAAAATAGAGCACCATATGTAATTTGGGTGACTGAGAAATGGTGCTACCAGCCACATTAGGTATGAATACTTGGGGAAAGGCAGGGGAATGAGAACATCTTGGTATCACATGAAATCCACGCACCAAGTTGCTGTACAGCACAGCATCATCACTTAATGAGAATTTAAGAGAGCATTTTTCAAGAATTTGGGAAGGTGGCAGCTTTCACAATCCTCAGTTATAAGTGTACACTTCAAAAGACTTAAAAGCCCGGACGTCTTTCCAACAAGGCAGCTACTTGGGGCAATACTTAGATTCCACTGTGGCCTTTGAGCAGAAGTCTGCAGGA